TCTGGAGGCTGTCCTCCTCGCAGGCAGCTAGGGCATCAGCAGCCCAACTGCGCTAGCTGCCCCAACAACCCCAGGTGCTTCACCAGATGCAACAAGCAAACACAGGCAACTACGCACCCCCCTGCTGCATACCACCAGCTTCACCTGAGTAGAACGCCCGGTCCTTATCACTGCATCTGGACCGCAAGTCATGCCAGATGCGGCTATAATGACCGGGCGTTCTATTCGGGTGACGACGGTAGTCAACGTACTGCCAAGTGGTTCACTAGTTCCAAGCGAAGTTGCAAACATATAGGGTATCTACCTACGTCCCAGCCCTTCTCAACCAATCCTCTGCATACCCCTGTCAAGTTCCCCGTTCCCAGCCAACCCACCACCGGCTGTTGCTCAGTCACGTGAGGACGGAGTCCAGAGGTCATCAGTGTGTTGCAGACCTTATGCTTGCACAGGATTGACTGGATAGACTGACCAGTTTGGGGATGAGCAGCGAATCATCAGCCTAAGGATGAGCAGCTCCCACATACCTTAACAACCTTGTCGATCTCGCCGGAGATTGTTGTCAGCGTCGTTGTAGGCCTTAGGCGTTCACAAGCAACGCAATGGTAAGGAAGGTAGGAACAGGATGCAAAGCGCCGCTGCTGCACCTGGTTTCCTGCATCTGGGATTTGCCCATCTCATCTCATTCTATCTCAAAAAATTTACTATATACTTTCACGAGGGACGACGCTGAGCCCAGTTCTTAGCATGTGTTGCTCCCCACGAATGGACTGGAGCTTCTTCTGAAAAAAGAAAACAAAAAAACAAAAAACAAAAAAAACAAAAAAAAACTGCTGCAAGCCTCGAACTCTGCGTGGTTTTTGGAGGCGATTTCTTTCAGAACCTCCTTGTGCGCCACGATATCCGACTGAAGTCCATCGAGTCTTATCATTTTATTTTATTTTTTCTTTTGCAGGGACCGTGAAGTTCCGTGCTCTGCTTGACAGGGGGGGCAAACGGAAGGGCCCTTATTTGGGACTCCGGTTCATTCCTTGCTCCACGACACAACACCGCAAACCTATCTGGATCAGCACTTCTGTTCCTGATACATAACTCCACATGTATCTGGATCAGCACTTCTGGTCCTGATACATTCAAAAAGTCCTGATACGTGACTCCAAATGTATCTGGATAGGCACTTCTGGTCCTGATACATTCAGAAAGTCTTGATTCATAACTCCAAATGTATCTGGATTAGCACTTCTGGTCCTGACACATTCAAAAGTCCTCAATCTCCTGATACATAACTCCAAATGTATCTGTGTCTGGAGCAGCACTTCTGGTCCTGATACATTCGAAAAGTCCTGATACATTTGAAAAGTCCTGATACATTCAAAATGTCCTGATGCATAACTCCAAATGCATCTGGATCAGCACTTCTGCTCCTGATACATTCACAAAGTCTTGATAAATAACTCCAAATGTATCTGGATCAGCACTCGTGGTCCTGATACATTCAAAAGGTCCTGATGCATAACTCCAAATGTATCTGGATCAGCACTTCTGGTCCTGATACATTCAAAAACTTTGTTTCAGTCCGGATGTATCTGGATCACTATACAGCAGAGATGTTTAGAATGTTGTGTGGTGGAGCGAGGACCATCATTATCTGTATTGACTACTTGGTTGAATGTATCCGGACTTTTTGAATGTATCAGGACCAGAACTTCTGATACATTCATTCTTGGGGTTATGTGCCCTGCTTGGCATTAGTTGGCGCAAACCGGGATAACCTCATTTCTGAGGCTCCCGTTTGACAAGCCGGCCCTTTTTTAGGTTTCTTCCTTTCAAGTTTCACCCATTGCCAATTCCCCGAACACAGTCCATCTCAGGAAAGTGACACACTCACCGTCATCAAGTTTTCACCTATTGCCGATTCCCCGAGCAAAAAAAAACATCTCAGGAAAATGACACACCCAGCAATTTTTTGTTGACTACCACACCGTTGTCAAGAGCACCATGGAGTGCGGGATGAACCCCTTTGCAACTTGGGGTCGTGTCATGCATGTGCCGTGAGGGTGTCATTCTTGGGCCTTATGCGGCTTGATCTCCACATGCCGTTCACCGCAATCCACCTTGACCGCCATTTCCTTCCGGCCCACTGTCACCCACCCCATACCGCCTCGGCGTTCCCCATTACTTTTGCCGCTCATGTCTTCCACATGTTAAAACAGGACCCTGCTGAGGCAAAAAAAGAAAAGAAAAAAAAAGAGAGGAAAACACTGCAAAACAGGACCCTGCTGAGGTATATTTTTTGTGACACCATAGATGCAGCAGCCCACCACTTGACCACCTTCAATGCCCCCCTGACACCCCAATCAACCTTCAACACCCCCCTGACACACTGATCAACTGGCCCTGTGGTTCAATCAGGCCATTATCTCCGTATTAGTCCGTAAGGTTTCTTTTTTCAAATTTTTGTCTGGTTTTCTTGCATGGCCGCTTGTAAGGTCACTTGCAAGCTGAAAGTTTTTTTTTTTTTTTTTAACGAGTTGAAATTTGAAAGTTAAAAAAAAAAAAAAAAACTTCTATCAAGGTGCTCCTCTGGACGAAAAAAAAAGAAAAAAAAAGAGGTTCTCTGGATGCAGTAAGAAGGTGGAGTCTTTCGGCAGCATGGCGCATACTTGTCCTCTTTGCGAGCATGGCACAGACTTGTGTTTTTCAATAATAATTTATTAATTTATAATTATTGTATCTGTGCTTGAGACTTCTTTCGCGCATACCAAGGGTTCTCCTTAACTTTGCATGTTGGTCACATCCATACTCGCGGTGCACTGGTGGGGTGCGCCATGGGGTGCGTGTGCGCTATGCGCCTTGCACAAATGATGCATGCGTTTTTTTTTGTTTTTTTGTTTTTTTAACGTGGAGTGTGTCTGTACAGACGTGAGAGAGAGAGAGAGAGAGAGAGAGAGAGAGAGAGAGAGAGAGAGAGAGAGAGAGAGAGAGAGAGAGAGAGAGAGAGANGAGAGAGAGAGAGAGAGAGAGAGAGAGAGAGAGAGAGAGAGAGAGAGAGAGAGAGAGAGAGAGAGAGAGAGAGTGCAGGCAAAGGTCCTCTTTCACGTAAAAAGGAGGGTCACTGCAAGGAATCTGGGGGGTCCCTCCACTAAGTAAGCGAAGGTCCTATCACCAAGCAGGGGGGGGGCACCGTATTTGCAGAAGCAAGAACGGGCCATGAATACATAGTGTGAATTCAAATTCAGGTCTATGTTTAAGCAGTTATGGGTTGCTAACTTAGCCAGGCCCTGTTGGGCTCTGCACGTGATTCTCAGAGCTTCTCACTGAATGTGCAAAACTAGAATGAATATTCCGCTAGAACATGGAACCATATGCCGCCATATGTTTTGTCTTTTGTGCATGTAGTGAGCAGTGGACCTAGATTTAGGGCCACTCCACCTATTCCTAAGAAAAGAAAAACAAAAAAAAAGAGAATCGCGTGTAGAGATCTGGCCTAGCGAAGTTAGTAACCCATAACTGCTCCACAGACCTGAATTCAAATCCAGAGCATATATGCCCATGCCCTGCTCACACTTCAACGACCATCTGGGCTTCATGATGACCTCTTGCGAGTTTTCTGCAAGGGTCCTTTGCGAAAGAGATTGGAAAATAGAACATGCATACCCAGTTTTTAGGCTTCGCGTGGCCCCAATTTTTTTTTTCGTTTGCATTCTGAAATTTTTGAAGGGAGGGGGCGTGTTTGGTCATCACACCCTGCCCTTCCCGAATTTTTTTACTGACCCCTATTTCGGGGATGCACCGCATCACCTGCGCGTGGGCTCTGCGTCGCATGTGCTGCAACCCCGCGCACGGGATGCGCTGCAAGTATGGTCACATCTCTTTCTCCTTTTCTTTTTCTTGTTTTGCTATGGGTGTGATTTGCCTTTGTCCGTTTTTTCACTTTCAGTAATCTTCCTTCTCCTGAAAGGATTCGCCTTCCTAAGCCTGCCGTGATTTGATCCGGGGACCTGTCGCTGTTGTTGTTGCCTGTTCGGCTATGTTGTATGCCTGTGTGATGCTGTCGGAGTTTGAACCTGGACAATTTCACTTCGTTCATTCTGCCTTTACAGCGTTTACGTTCTTTGTGCACCTTTGAGTGTACCTTACCCTCTTACTTTTTGTTTGTTTTTTTGTTTTGTTTTACCCTCTTACTTTGTAGGTAGGTGTTTAGTGAGAAGGTGGAGGTTTAGTAAGCATGTGGGGATTTAAAAAAAAAAGAAAGAAAACAAGGGAAAAGGTGGAGGAGTTTCTCCATACTTTTTTTGTGACCAGAGTATTGACTCTTGACTCCCAGATTTTATGCATTTCTGTGATTGTCCGTGTGTGTGGGATTCCGCTTTCTCCTTGCCGCTCGGCGCTTCCATTGAATAATATGAATATGCATATTTGCATCTAGGAGTTTGGATAACAACAACCTGAGCGGGCAGGTTCCCCCGACGCTCAAGACCAAGCCGAATTTATACCTGAGGTAAGGCGGAAAAGGAATCTTCAAAAAAGAAAAAAAAGGAAAAGAAAAGAAAAGAAAAGAAAAGAAAAGAAAAACGAATCATCACTGAAGTCAACAACGCTTTGACTTTCCCCCATTGACCTTCTTCCCTGCTTTTTCTTTCTTCTTTAACAAATTGAAAGTTCAAATCTCACCATGCTAACCCCTTGCAACCCAACCCCGCCCCCCCCCCTTCCGCCCCATTTGTCAACAATTCTCTCTCTTTTAATGTTGTTGTCAACAATTCTCTTTCCTTTTTAATGTTGTTGTCAACAATTTTCTTTCTTTCTTGAAGTTGTCAACAGTTCTTTCTTTCTTTTTTAATGTTGTTGTCAACAATTCTCTCTTTCTTTTTTAATGTTGTTGTCAACAATTCTCACTTAAAAAAAAAATGTTGTTGTCAACTTGTCAGCAATTGTCTTTATTTGTTGTTAGTAACTTGTTAGTAAGTTGCTATCAATGATCCTATGTTTTTGTTGTTGCTCTGTTTCGACCTTTTGCTGCCATGCTGCAGTGAATAAAAGCTCTCTTTGCTTTTTTTTTTTTTTTTTTTTGCACAATGTTTCCCAACAATGCCCTACAACCCCCTTCTGTTAGCCGCAGGCTCTTTTTCATCAGAGGCTGCACACCTATGGGTTGCTTTTCTCGTCCAAAATCCTGTGTCCCACTCACTTGGAATATGGTTGTCATCGGTCCTCTTTTTTTTTTTTTTTTTTTTATAAAGCCCCTGTGTAAGCCCTCCATCCCGGCGGTGGTAAGAGAACCGTCCGAATTGAGGGCTTATCTATTGGGCTGCTCCATCTATTTGTGGGGAGCGGCACCTGCTGAAAACCAGGTCCAGCGTCCCATTAGAAATTGTCATAGGTTCTTTACTACTTAGGTTCGACCATCTGCGTGGGGTTCTTTATCATCAGGTGCTGCACACTGACAGGTTGCTTTTGTCGTCCAGAATCCATTGTCTGATTCACTTGAAGCACTGTGGTGATCGCTTCTTAGGTTCGGTGATCATTGTCCTTCTGTGCCTTCAGTTTCCCTTGACCGACGATCTTGGGCGCGGGAATCTTGGTGGATCTTTGGATACCAGGAGGCACAAAGCGCCAAAGCTGTATTTTACTGTTTTTTGCATTTTTTGAAACCTATGATCCTGGGAATCATCTTGGCATTTCGGAAAATTGCCGCACATAGGCTGCCGTAGCATTTCAAAATCTCAAAATCCGCTGAGCATACTCCCTGGCACTTCTTAATATGCGCATATCAACGCCGGACGGAAGGCAATGCAGGGGCAGCAACAACGGATATTGGCACGAGAGGAGAGGATGCTATCAGCCAAATGTGGGGTGACGACGGCATGGCTATGCCAGGCAAACACACACACACACAGAGAGAGAGAGAGAGAGAGAGAGAGAGAGAGAGAGAGAGAGAGAGAGAGAGAGAGAGAGAGAGGCAGACATACAGACATACAGACAGACAGACAGACAGACAGAGAGAAGGTCTCGCTCCATTCCACAACATCTGAATGTATCACAGAGAGTTTGTCCTCGGGGCTCATTCGACGTGGACCTCATGTTGTGCCTGCAGTAGAAGTGGGATTCGGACATTGATTCTGGTTCAGCCATTCAACATTATTATTGTTATTTCTTGTTTGAATAAGAGAGGAGTAGATAAGGAGGAGGAGATTGGTTGGCGAAAAAGAAGAGCATTATCTTTGGTCTATGTTGGAGTACATCATCTTTTTCTTCTTTCTTACTTCTTGTTCTTTCTTACTTCTTCTTCTTCTTTCCCTCTCTCTCCTCTTCAAGTTCATTCATTTCTTTTTGCAAGTGGACGGCATTGGACTTTCTGATGAATGTATACTTTGAAATTGGCCAGGATCGTAACATTGGTACCAGAGCGGATTCTACTTGCTGGCGAGAGTTGACTTTGCCGCCATAACCCTAAGTGGTAAGGGCTAACCACTTAGGGTTAGGGCTGGATGTTAGGGTTAAGTGGGGTGGTGAAGGGAAGTTGCTCCCACCTGGCAGGGCCGTGTAGGGTCGACATTAGACCCGACCTGGTAGCTAGAGTGCATGTTTGTGGTGGCGAGACACAAGGTGGGACTTCGTGATGCAACTTGAGAGAGGCGACAGTGAAGGGCACCTAAAACTGGAATCTGGACTTCAAGGAAGACGAGGAGTGACCTTAGGGCTCCCCTCAAGTTAGGCGAGCTTGAGGGTGGCAACCATATCTGCACCTACGGACTGCAAGTTGCTACTTTGATCTTCAACATCGACGGGGGATCGACGTTGTACTTTGGGGTAGAGGTTGACCCTCCTAGATGATAGGACACTAGTGTAGAGGATGCTAATTGGGTCAGGAGGACTATGTGAGAGGGAGGTGAGTTTCTTTATCTCAAGAGCCCGGCCACTCAGGTAAGTGTCGTGCTGCCAGGGTGCCCATGTGTGTGTGCATGGAATGTACTGCCTATTGGGGTATTCTAGGTTCTTCCATCCTCCATAGTCTTGATCTTGTGTGAGGTGTGTGAACTGCTTACTCACCTGACGATTGAATAAATGGAGTATCTTGCGTGCCATGCTATATCTTTGTACAATGTTTATTTCATTTTGAACGGTTGTAGTCTGTAGGTTCTTTTTGGGGCTAAATTTCGTTTTCAATTCGGTAGGGGCAGCGAGTAGGTCTTTGTGGAACTCTTGTTGGTTGGGACCTGGTTTTGAATCCACTGGGACCATCTGGGACTCGGTGGGACGGGGCCCAAACAAGAAGGGCCCCTCGGACCCAAATCTGTTGACGTCAGTTACCTTGCTCTATTTGATTGGGACTCAAAGTCCATGCTTTCGAACCAGGACACTCGCTGCTGAGGGGATCTCAGCTGAGACGTTTTAACAGACTTTACTGCACGATCCGCCGCCTGACTCGCACCTTGGACACCACTCAATTCTCTCTTGCATTACGTAGTACACTTTGAATTTGATTTGTTGTGTCTTCATGGAGCTGAGCCCGACTAGGCTTGAGAGGACCTCATACGTAGTCGGACCAGACTGTGTGGCGGAATCAGATCTCTCTGATCTTTTATTTTTTTGTTGTTTTGACTGCTCTCCAGCCTAATTGAATTGCCGCTCCGGCAAGGAGTTCTACCTTCTCTTCTAGTTGCTTTCAAGATTGTTTCTTTCATTGGGTTCATTAAATTCCTGCGTCTACACGATCGCAAACGAGAGAGAGAGAGAGAGAAGAGAGAAGCTTCTGAGTGTTGCTCTTGAGGGAGTGAGGAGAGGGAAGAGGAGTGTTCGTCCAAGAAGTGTGAGGAAGTACGAACCTCTCTTGAGAGACTTATTGACACCCTCGTCCTCCACCATGGCATCTGCAGCAGAATGGAAGCTGCAAATGGACGCTGCCCCTGAGGCAGAAAAAGTGCAGTACCAGTTCTTTTATGAAAAAGCATTGAAGAGGGAAGAGGAAGAGAAGGAGAAGGAGAGGGGTGACAAAGTAAAGGCTCATGAATCCGTCTTCAGTACCGTGCCTGATGTGGTGGAAGAGAAGACTGTCCCACTCGTCAGGGCTTTAGTAGAGGTCCGGGCTGTTGAAGACCATACAAGCCAACTCGCCAAGGTGTTTGATGAACTCAAGAAGTTGCGCGAGGATATGACCATGATGGCGCAGCAGCACGGTGACCAGCTGCAACAGTTTGCTAGCTTGCAGCCGGCCCAAAGTGTCCTTCCATCTGCTTACCCTGCTTCTAGTGCTGCGTGTCAGTCCGTTCTTGCCCCTTCAACCATATCTTCTTCTTCTTCTTTTTCTTTGAGTGTGGCCAACAGCCTATCCGGATTTGCAGCAGGTTCAGACCCCACTGTTGTTGTTGCCGCTGCTGCTGTGGCAAGTGGCAGTGCAGGGCATTCTGGAACTATTGCAGCTCCACATTCGGACCCAACAATTGCTGGTCCTAGCTGCAGCTTTCCCTACGTGGACAGGAAGGCGGCACAAATTCAGTCTAAGTATGACGGAAAGGATGACATTGAATCCTTGATCAGCTCTATGCGATCCTACTTTGATGTGTTGGGGACACCCTCGGTTACTCAGTCGTTGGTCCTAGGAACCAATGTGGAACCCGCCGTAAGGGGCTTCTTAGAAGTCCAAGCTGTACAGTCAGGCTATAAAAGAATAGACCTGAACAAATGGTTGAAGGCTACACAGTAGCCACACTCGAAGAACTCATGATCAAACAATATGCTGATCCGCATGCTGCAGCCAAAGCTAGACCTAAGCTTGACAAGCTCAAGCACAGCAAGTGGACCGACACCATGCATAGTCTGCAGCAGTATGTTAGTAAATTTTTTGTTACTCCTGATCTGGAGATGACTGCGCAGTCTTGTTTGGATGTGATTAAAGGTACAGTTCCCTCTACTATAACACATCGCCTGGGGCTCGGACTCATAGCATATAGGGCTTACCCTCATGCGGGATTTAGTCAAACTGGAGGCACAAGACCTCCCGGGTGGATCGGGTGGCAAAAAGACCACCGGCCGCAAACGGTTCCCAAGCAGCAACCGTTTTGCAGCGCACGATATACTTGAGGTTGACGAGAAGACCTTCGTAGAGGACCCTTCTCTTGATGACGATCAAGAGCAAGATGCCTCGCATCTTGCTCTTCGTCAGCCAATGAGTCTAATTATGTGAATGATGATGAATCTATGAATGCCTTTGAGAAGACTGCCTTCAAAAGTAAGGGACCGAGGCCCACAATGAAGAACAACACTAACACCAGTCTCCTTCCCAAGGGAGCGAAGATTCTACCCAAACCGGAAGATCCTGCCACAAAACCATGGGTAGATCATCGGATCAGTGAAAGTGAGTGGAAACACAAGGTGAAGAAAGGGGTTTGCCTGCATTGCACCAAACCGGGACACTCAGTCCAACATTGCTTCAGATTGCAGCAGGGAAACCAGCAAAGGGGGTAGAGATATTATCAGCACACTCTACAGACGGAGAGG